ATAATATATATATATATATTAATTTTTAAGATATTAAAAAATTATATAAAGGTAGCACATGGGCTATGCGTGTAAATATTCTAATTGTTAATCCTTTAATAATTAAAAAGAGCACCCTCTTAGAAGAAAATGACAGTGGGAAGAAAGTGGATTTAGTGTAATATATTCTCATGACTTTTAAGGAAGGGTGGGTCCTTTTCATTATAGTGATCTTTGGCAATTGCATTAGGGTTGTAACTTTGCTAGTGGAACCTTCACCACAGAATTATCAAAAGGGTGTGTCTCTTCACATGCCACTTGTCTTCAAACCAGAATCCGAAGAAGAACGATAAGAAAGAAAAGCAGAAGAAAAATAGCTAGGTTGGTGTGTACCAGTATATAGCATAATGTTGAGGCCAGAGGTGGAGGAAAAGTTGAAGAGGGGAATCAATGATGGTGAAGCACTCAGACCACATGAGCTTGGGGAAGAAGGAGGAGATGCGAGCGCGGCCATAGCCGGAGACGGCGTCGGGGGAGCGAGCAGCTTTGAGCTTCTGGTGAAGAGGAAGGGAGAAGAGGGCGAGGGTGGCTTTGTGCATGCGAGCGAAGAGGCTGATGGGGACGCCATGGCTGATGAGTTGGAAGACACCCCATGTTCTGCATGCATGGCGAACGAGGTTAGGAGCGTTGGGGTGGTTGAAGTCGATTACGGGGACGGTGGAGTTAGGGTGAATATGGTTATCTGGTTGCGTAGTCCAAGCGTAGGAATCGGGGAGTTTTTGGAGGGAGTTGAAGTCGGGGTGTTTGTGGTGAAGGTACACGGGGTGGCCTCGAAAGGCTTCAGAGAGAGAAGGCATAGTACACAAGTATAGATTAATTAACGTTGTTGGATGTTACTAGCTAGAAGATGAAGTGGGAAACATTATCGTGCACACCGAGTATATATAGAGATATATGCTGTGGAAGATGCCGACAATCTTTACCCTTAAACCAAAGGGAGACACCAAGGAAAAACAAAAATTATTGCATCATATCCTGCTATTCCTCACTACTGTCATTTTATTCTTTTTTTTTTTAAATCAAATCAATTATTCATTATTATAAGTACAAAACTAATATTAAATAAATATAATATTATAACACTAAAAATTATAAAATATTGATTCTTAATATTATATATATATATATAAAGGGTTTAAACAACATCGATATAACTTTTACTAATTATACTAAATGTGAATTTTGTAAATTCAACTGTTTAATTATAATTTCATATTACTTTATATATTTGTATTAAATTTTGTTAAAATTGAACAACAACTTCAAGGTAATTAAAGTGTTCATATTTTATTATATTTTGAAATGTATATATTATATTAATTTTTTTTATAAGAACAAAGTACCAAATCATCTTGTATTAATATAAAATTTTGTATATAAGGGCATCTCCAATGGAAGTAACTCATTTGAGTTGTTTCATGCATTGAAAAACGAAAAAGGTGGTCCCGAGTCTGTCATGTCAGTATTAAGCAACTCAAACACAAATTTACTCTAATAGTAAGAAATTTTAAGAAATTCAACTTTTAGAATTTTTTTTCTAATCATTTATGAACCAATTTTAAATTTTTATTAAAAAGGGTAATTGCACCACAATGCAAGAAAATAAATTACGAGAAAAAATACATAATAAGTAGATATTAAAAATAAAATAAAATAATAATAAATACATAGACATTATACGAAATTAATTTTCATCATTATTATTTCTGAAACGTTTCCAAATATGTTCAATAAGATTTGCTTGAAATCTGGTAAGGAACGGTTGCTTGAGGAAGCAAATCTCTTTCTTCTTCAAGCAACTCATGTTGTCACGTTAGAGTCCTCCAATGGTAAGAAACAGGGGCTTGAGTTGTTTCATGAGACAAGCAACTCCCATTGGAGTTGCTCTAAGATCTAAAAGTAAAGAATTTTCAATCTAATAGTTGAATTTATAAAATTCACATTTAATATAAAATCATATAGCGATGTAATACTTAATAAAAGTTACACCGATGTTGTTTAAATTTCTCTGTCTCTCTCTATATATATATAATTTTAAACTATATATAATATAATATAATATTTATATTTATGAAAGAAATATTAAAAATAAGTTATTATAATTTATATTTTTTTACTAAATATTATTTTTATCAAAAATATTTTCAATTAAATTTTAAAAGTAAAAATAAATAAATTGGATCAGTTCAAACCACTTTGATTGGTTCTTTTTATTAGTTTTGGACCAATTTTTCACCTAGGTTCTTTTTATTAGTTTTGGACCAATTTTTCACCTATTTGATGCAAAATAGTTTTCAGGACCAATTAAATCGATTTTGTAACATGGTATATTTTTGTTAATTATTATTATTTTATCAATAATTATCTGTTTTAGTGATTTGGTGTTTATAATTTATAAATTCTCGTGAGTTTTATGCATTTAGAAAGAATATCATTTTTTTTAGCTTCTAAAATTTGAAAAAAAAAAAAAAAGAAGCTTATTTTAAATCTTTTGCTCAGATATCATTAATGAATATGTCAAGTATTGTCAATCTATCAAATAAAATTTATCTATTATTATCATTATTAATTAAAAAAAATTAATTTAATTTAATTAATATTATATAAATGTTTTAATTTGTCATTGTTAATTATATTATTAGTGACTTGAAAGACTAAAATAAAATAAAATTAAAATTACATGAGTTAAAATGATCAATTTGAGTTTGAGAAATTAGAAACAAATTTAATTATACTAAATTTAAAAAAATAAAAAGCATATTTAAGCATAGTATTTTTTTAATACTCTAATAATACATACAAACATTTATGGGTACTTATTATATTACTTAATTACATTCGTTCATTTTTTTATCACTTTTTTTTCCTCTAAATATCTACTAATATAGATTATTATGCATTTTCCTTAGGCAAAGGATCTCAACGAAAGGGCCCTTCCTCAACATGTGCCTTTGTCTTCAAATATAAAAAACATTTACATAAAATTAATTGCTCAAGCTTGGTTGTAATCCTTCCCAATCGCTATGGGACAATATATAGAGGCCATTTCAGTAGTCGCCATCATATGACCACAAAATAATCTTGCATTTGCATACACAATCAATAGTAATATACCACTCAATTAGGGGTGTTTATGGATCCGTTTTTTCAAAAAACCGATCCAAACTGAACCGAACCGTTTTATAAAAGTGGATCAGTTAACTGATTCATTTTTTATAAAGTGGATCAGTTTGATTTTTTTAAAATATGGATCGGTTTTTTTAAAATTGGATCATTCGGTGCGGTGCAGTTATCCGTTTTTTACTTATATATGGATCGTTTTTGTTAAAAAATCAAACCGAACCGATCCACTTTGTAAAAATGGATCGGATAACTGAACCGGTTTTATAAAGTGATTCGGTTCAAAAAAAATTTCAAAATAGATCGAATTTTTCAATATAGATCGGATCGGTTATGGATCGGTTCGGATCAATTTGGATTTTTTGCACACCCCTACACTCAATAGCACAAACCTCGTTATTAGACATCACAAGAGTAATCTTATGCTTTATTTATATAAAAGTTTGTATAATATTTTGTATTATTTTAAATATAATAAATGATGAGACTCATTTAATTATTATTAAAAATGTGAAAATGGGTTGAATCCAATTGCACTGACACTAATTAGGTTGAGTTATGTGATTTAGATGAATAATCCAACTGAGTTAAGAGATAAGTTGGGTTAGGTTGATGTATTAAATTGAAGAAGAAAATGTTAGATATTTTGATTATTTAATAAAATATTATCTTATTGAAGATAATGTTTTGTGGATTATTTTAGATTTTGTGTACCTTTTTTGCTTTGCACTACAATTATTTAACGTATTTCACTTGTATCATAGTTATATATACGATCATTCCCAAATCTTTTGGTATTTTGTGGTTTGGATTTCTGTTTTCTCATGTCCCTCGGATTGGCGGATTGAATGGTTTGACATCACTACAACAATTTTGTGATTGTCCCCCACCCCCCCTAATTAATATATATATATATATATATATATCAAAATCTATTACCTTTTCTCATAAGCGTGAATTAAAGTTCTAATTAATTTTATAAAACCAACTTATAAAATAAAATAAAAATTATTTATATATATTTTATTTTTATTATCACTAATGTTTATCATACTCTCTTCACAATGAGTACTAAAATATTAAATGTGGTGTTTGTAAACTGAACATTTATAAATGATTCAAATAACTTCATAAATCTAATAATAATTAATAATTACTAAAATATAGATGTCAATACCATTTAAAAAAAAAAGTAAATTTGAAATCTAACACAATTTTATAAAATTAATTTATAATATAAAATTATTTTATATATATTATTAATGTGAAAAGTACACATTTAAAAGACAACAGTAATGGTACTCTTCCACTACTGGTTTCTTCATGGTGTTCCTTTATACGATTATGACTTGATAGGTTGCTCTAATTAATTTCCCTACCCGTGGTGGAGTATTTGTGGTTCTCAATAGTCATATATTGACTCTGGTTTGTTAATTAAGGGGTCCAGGAATTAATATCACATGTCTAATGGAATGGTAAATTTTAAAAATTAAATTACTCTACCTTGATTACTTTATGTTTCCACGTTCTCGTTTTAGGGTATGTAGGAGTATTAATATGTTACTAATGATAGATGACATTGATAACACTCCTCTTGTAATTTGTTATTTCTCGTACATAACATGACTATAATTAATAGGACATAGGGTCGTATTTGTTCAAAACATCACACATGAAATAATTCATGTAATATTGTTCATTCTTTCTACGCGCAAGCAGTTAACTCAGGGACCATACATTGGGATTGTTACAGTAAATACATGGATAAAAAGATTTTGACAATTTGGATCCATCACCTTACAACATCAATATCATAATTTACAACTATAATGTATAACACTCTCCCTCTCTGTCTTTATTTATTGACGGATATAAAAAATTTATGTAAGAATAATATATTAGTTTGTATTTTAATTTACACACACTGTACATAACTATTGATAAATAAATAAAAATACACTATACAAAACTTGACAAAACTCGTTTTAAATGATTCAATAAAGAATTTTTATTTAACTAAGAGATGTGGTTTTTTTTTTTTTGATTGACAGTATCTATTCTAACAATTTTTGAAATTGGTAATTCAAAAAAAATAAATCTAAAATGAGTAAGTTTTGTTTATGAAAGATGACTCGTAAAATGGAAGTCATAATTCTACTTCTTTTTTAAAAATGAAATTGATATTGTGTTTTAAAATTCAATCTTTAATTTTATGTAAAAATATTATTTTAATGTTAAAAAAAAAATAGGCAAATCATATTTGAAGACATGAATTTGCCATTTAAAAAAGACATAAATAAAACAATGTTATTATATTTTTTATATGTTTGAAAACACAACTTCTGTTTAAAAAAATGTAAAAAGTTATGTATGTGAAACACGTATTTATAATAAATAAAAAAATAGTTAAAGTTTTTATTCTATCAACCAATTAAAAACTCTTATTAGTATATTTTAAAAGTTATTGTTATAATTATGAACAAATTTATAATATATAATGAATCATGATGAAATGATAGTGTAAAATTATTTTAAAATATCATTTTTTTTATCTTATATTTATACTTCTCATATA